GTGCTTTAACCCGCTGCGCCACCAGGGAGGGCCCCATATCACTTTCTTAATGCAAATCTAGTCTGGAACAAGGGGTCAAGTTTTTGTATGATTTAGGTGTGTTGTTCTTAATACTGGTAATTTTATTTTATTTTTTTAAGATTTATTTGTGCATACAGAACTGGGGTACAGGCGAGAGGTGCCAGGGGATGAGAGGATTCACCAGAGACAGAGTGGGGAGCAGAACAGGCCAACTGATGAAGTACACTGTTGAAGGGAGCAGCGGGCGGGTCAGGAGAGGTCTGCCTCGCCATGTAGGTCACCTCTGGGGCAGGGATTGAACTCATGTGGAAGTGGCTTTAGCTTCTTAGTGCTGCGCTTTAACCCACTGCGCCACCAGGGAGGGCCTAGGATTTATTTTTAAAGTTGTTATTTTCATTGAATTATTTTGAACCTAGGTTATTTTAACTTTTAAAAATTTATGCTATCTTTTGATTTTTCTGACTACTGCAATATTTTCTCCTTCCTACAGTGTGTGTTTTCTGAACATGGCCTTTTGACCACCGTGGCTTACAAACTTGGCAGAGACAAGCCAGTATATTATGCACTAGAAGTAAGTTCTATTCAGTCACTTTGGATTATTTGCAAACATCCAAAGCAAATGAAAATTCCAGTGTTTTCTGACACCTTTTCTGTTAAATCTTAATATATAGGACTCAAAGACCTTCATTTTCAATTTGACACTTGGTTGAGTGGGGAGGACTAGGGCCTGACCTAGGGGCCTGAGCGCTTAGGGGACCTTAAGCATTTTATTTTTATTTTAAGTTCCCCAGTTCTTTTACCAACTGTACAGCTGGGTGTGTTACATAACTCTCCACATGGTGAGTCTATCTCCCAGTGTAATGACGAGAAATTAGCTCACTTGCTAACATTTCTTTCAGCTTGAGGATTATGTGTTTTTATGAGCACAGTGCCTCAGTGCCCCAATAGAGCCACTGAGGACAAAATGGCAGAGCAACTCTCTTCACTCACCTCCCATAAAATGAAATTATGTGTCATGTTTTGATGTGGGAAAGAAAATGAAGAGGTTTATGCCATTTTTCACTTCAAAAGTCTTTGTTTCAAAATGTTCATAAATTCTAATAGGATGTGTCAATCTTAGTCTATAGAATATGGTTAGTTCATATTTAGAAACATTTATTTTTAAAGCCAAAGCAGCAGCACTCTTTGTAAACTGGATACATTTGTTCAAAGCCTTTCTTTGCAATTCATTTTTATTTTTTAAAGATATATTTATTTATGCACACAGAACTGGGGTGCAGGCCAGAGGTGCAGGGGGGTGAGAGGATTCATCAGAGACAGAGCAGGGAGTGGAGCAGGCAGATCTACTGAAATACACTGCTGAGGGGAGCAGTAGGTGAGACAGGAGAGGTCTGCTGCACCCTGTGGGTAACCCCCCTGGATGGAGATTGAACTCATGCTGCAGTGATTACTATAGCTTCATAGTGCTGTGTTTAACCTGTTGCATCACCAGGATGGGCCCTGCAATTCATTTTAAAGGCTCTCTTGTAACACACAGGTAGATAGTTGATCTGGAAACTTAGTGAAGTTTGTTTCCTGGAGTATCTGATAACAATTCAATCACAAGGTTTGGACTTCTGTTTATAGTTAAAATAGTTCAATATTTGTTATGCCTAGAGCTGAATTTTTGTTATTTCTGCTTTTCTTGCTCCTTCTCTACGTAAGCATTGTAAATCTCTCTCCCAACTCCTTTTCTGTGGAGATTAGAAGTACTTATGAAATTTTTGGTCTGTGTATTCAATACTAATCAGAACTTAAATGCTTATAAGCCTTCTCCTCTTCCCCCTGAAGAGTGCCTTGTGGCACTCAGCACAAGATAGAGCATGCACTAGAATTGCGCTAGCTGTAAAGTAACAGCATACTGCTCTCTTTTTCCTTTTGAAGGAGACAATCAATGGTTTCGATTTGGTATGAATAGATGTGGAAAGGGTGGCAGGGGTTGGGGTTACCTGATCTTAATTTTCCTTTCAATATGAAAAGCCTTCTCTTCTATCTTTTACCAAGAGCCTTCCAACTTATGTTTGACATTTGTGCCAAAAATTGCTTTTCAATAACAACTACCATTGGACCTAGGTCAGATGCTATGAACATTCAAATGCAAAACGGGGTTGGAGACAGAGCAATTTCTCTGGGTCTCCCTACTCTAGGATCTCTCCAGTGTCCTGATGTCACATGGTTTCTAGTCTTCTGTAGTTCTGGGCTCCCGTCACTAGATGCATTCCAGTTTGTCAGTGTCTTCCAGAACAGGATAGAATAGTCTACATGTAATCTGGCCCATGCTTCCAGTGCAGTAGCCTGAGAACTCTCAGTAGCCTGAGAGTTCATTAATTTAATCCGTATCATTGTCTGAGAAGCATATGTTAAAATATCTTAACTCCCTCTCAGATGAATTACATGTGCTCCTTTTTGTGTTGGTATAGAAGACTTGTTCATCTAAACTCAGGGTTTTGTTTCTTCCTGTTAAATTTCATCATACTGATTTCAGCCTATTCTGACAGTCTGAATTCCTTTTCACTCTTTGCTGTTGCTTTTGCAGTTAGTCTCATGTGGAGACTGATAAGCATATGCTTTCCGATTTGACTTCGGTTCATGGGCTTTGTTTTTAGATTCACAGAATTTTAAAGCTGGGAGAGACATAAATTAAATAACAAAATGCTTTACTACACCCTCCTATTCCTTTGTTTTACACATGAAGGACTCTCAGTAGATAAATTGGAGTCACTTGGCCAGGGTTACTTTTGATAGCTAGTAGGTAGCAAATCCAGAATGGAAACCCAACTTACTGGATTTCCAAGTTCTGGCCATCACACCCTAGATGGCCAGGCTGCCTATGGCCATGTCCTTCCTTGTAAGTTTGGGTAGCCCAGGCCCAGTCTCCTAAATCCAGTGTCCTCTGTGTTGCATCTCACATACATCACTTTATTCCTCTATTAACCCGGTGTCTCACCACTGTATGCACACACACACATGTATGTTAACAGTAGATAGGATTTTTTCTTCTTTGCTATGTTGTTTAAGTTTATTTTTTCAATTAAAAAATTAAAAAAAAAAACAACCCCCCCCTCAAAAGAGGGCAAGGAATAAAGCTAGATTAGTAAATTTATGTTAATTTTACTTTGTTCCACTGCTTCTTTTGGGGGTAAGTTGCTTATAAAATATCTAGTCTGCCCATTGTTTTTAAATCTACTTTTTTAAGAGAAAATTTGTCATTTGTGCATACGAGAACTGGGGCACAGGCCAGAGGTATGAGGGCGGGTGGGAGGACTCACCAGAGATAGAGCAGGGAGCAGAATAGGCAGATGAACTGAAATACACTGCTGAGGAGAGCAGCAGGTGGGTCAGGAGAGGTCTGCTGCGCCCTGTGGGTCAGCAGCCTGGTTGGGGATTGAACTCACGCTGCAGTGGCTGCAGAGAGCCTCACAGTGCTGAGCTCCAGCCTGTTGCGCCACCAGGGAGGGAGCCAGTGCTCATTTATTTAATTTGACTTTTGACTTACCTTTGTCAGGTTTGACAATCTGAAGTATAGCAGTTTATTTTCTGCTCTTTTTAAAAAGTGAAACTAGAACAATCCATCTTAGTCTGTTAATCCAGCATTCTCTGCTGATTTGGAAGGAAGAGAATACGTTTCTTTTGCATGGGGGCATTTTGTGTGTGTGTGGGAGCCTTTAAATATTTAAGATATTACTTGACTGCATATTTGCTTAACATTGTTTGTAGCTATTTGTTTTGTTTTGTTTTTTTTTTTTTAGCTACTTAGTATTTTTAACCTAAATAAATAAATCTTTTGGAACACACACCCCCCCACCACAATATTCTTGTGAAATGAAAGAGACAGAAAAATGTATAAAACATGAATGTACAGTTTAACAAGTCGTTGTATAAAGAAGGCCCGTGCAGTGGCTGCCCAGGTCAGGAAGCGCATCGCCAACACTCAGGAACCCCGGTGTGCCCTTCCCAGTCACAGCCAACACCCAGGAACCCCTGTGTGCCCTTCCCAGACACAGCCTCCTCCCGCCCCTCTAAGGAAACCACTGCCCTCCCTTATATTATGATCACTTCACTTCCTTACTTTTTTTTTTTTTTTTACAGTTTTAGCACCCACATGTTCAGCCCTCAACGCCGGGGCTTCGCTTGGTGTGCTTTCATTGCTCTATATATTCAAAATAGGCAGAGACACTAGGCAAGGGGCTGAGCCAAACAGTATGTATTCTTTAAGTTGACTTCTTTTGTTCATCGTCCCCTTTGTGAGACTCACCCATGCTGTTAAATACAATTGTTGCTTCACTGTGTCATTACTGTGCAAAAATGGCACAGTTTAGCATTGATCCAACTATTAATGGCATTTGAGTTGATTTCAGACTTTAGCTGTAAGAAAAATGCTGCTGTGGATATCTTTTGGACGTGTCTTCCATGTCCACCCTTCTGTCGGAGTGGACTGCCTGGGTCACGGATGGAGTGTATCTTCACTGTGCGTAGCTAAGACAATCTCTTTTATAGCAGGAAAGGCCTGCTGCACGCCACCAGCACTGCATGGGACAGTGATTTACTCATCATCTGCGCCTCTCCTGGAAGTTTATCTCATGTATTCCATTTTTAAACTTCACCCAGTCATTTCGTTTTTAGACATTTTATTTGCTTATTTTTCACATCCACCTAATTTTGTTTTATTCTCTTTTCTTTTGATTCCTAATTTCACACTTTTTTTTTTTAAGTGGAACCTGTGCCTTCAATGACTTCTATGACCACTTTAAGCACATGGTTGGCCCAGTGCCTCTGTCACACTGCAGTGAGTTCCTCTCCAGCTGTTAGTTGCACTGGCTGGTGTCCTAATAACCAGCTTCTCGTGTACTTTGCGATCTTCTCTTCCACCGACCTCTTCCCGGCAGCTGTAGACTCTGCCGGCAGGTAGACCGTGGTTGTTCACCAGCATCCTGCATGAGCAGCAGCGTGTCACCTTGACTTCAAACAGAGGCTGATTCTGTTCTTGCACAGAGCTCATCGTGTGTGTGGCTTCCAGTCCTACTCAGCCCAGCATTTCTGTGTCTGTCCACAGCCATCTGTTCTGTGTTCGAGCTGGCCTGTGTCTCGGTTTCTCTTTCTCCATTTCATCTGTCTCCCCCTGTGTTTAGACTCAGCAGGAGGGTTGAAGTTCAAGCTCACCATCTCTGTTGAAGTGGACATCTGCCTCTCTTTTACTCCAAGAGAATTCTTTTTTTCTCCTAAGCCCCTTGGACTGTGATTCATCTAGGCTTGACATTTTAACTTCATCCTAGGTCCTTATTTTCATTATCAATAAAAAGGAATCGGGGAACATGATCCTTCTGTTTTCCTAAGACTTCAAACTCATATTAAACTGGTTAAAGATGCCCTCCTCTTTCTGCTTGGGTGATAATGCTGAGAGGGGAAGAGACGGGAGAGCAGTTGGCTATCTCCGCCTCCCCGCTGCCATCTGGTAAGAGCGTACCTACTGTCGTCCTCAATCTGCTTCTCCTTTTCCTTGTTCATCTTTTTCTAAATCTTATTTCACAAATCAAAAATCCCTTAGGAGGCTTTTGATTTGATTATGAACTCAAGCCGAGTTAGGATTTGAGACTTCTGTGTCCTGCATTCTTTCGCTAGCATGGAAGTTCCCTGAGAGCAGGGTGCTCACCTGCCTAGCTTCTCACTCCCCACCAGCAGGCTGGCCTCCGGCAGCCCTCAGCAACTGTTGTCTCCGCACCAAATCCTACATTCTGGCATTTTTGTCCATTTATATGTGAGCTTCAAAGAGGGTTTCCCTTTCTGCCCTATGGATGTCTTTCAGTGTTCCATTCCCCAGTTCTTCCTTGGTGTGATTTATGTTAAGGTTTCCTTGACAGCTGTAAGTGGCATAAAACCACGCCCATTTACTATCTCACAGTTTATAAGGGTCAGAAATCCAGCACAGTTTCACTGCGTCCTCTGCTCAGGGTCTTGCAAGGCTGCGGTCAAGGTGTCGGCTGAGAATCGGTCCCATCTACAGCTCCATCTGCTTGCAGGCTCGCACGGGTCATTAGCCAAATTCAGTTCCTTGTGGTTGAAGGAGGGAGGGCTCAGTTTCTTGTTAGCTATCAGCCTGAGGCTGCCCTCTCCCCTGAAGACCCCCAGTTCTTTCCCACGTGGGGACTCAAAACCTCACCCTCTGCCTCCTTAGAACCAGTGAGGGAGGGGGGAGTCTGGAAAACAGGCAGCATAACCTTATGCAACACGATCACACGTTCATCACGTACGTCCATTATCTTTGACATACTACTTACTGGTTCAGAGCAAGCCACGGGTACCCCCATATATTCCAGGGGACGGGGATCACACAGTGCATGAGCCCCAAGAGGCAGAGTGCATGGAAACTGCCTTCACTAAGATATCTGCCACAGCCTATAAATATTGTTTGTGGACTTTTGTAATGTGCTTTCTTGGAAATTATCTTGCCGAATAATAAATGCTTTTAACCTCCCGACCTGTTCCTGAAGTCCTAATGATATAGATTGCATTTCAAAACGAATACCCCCAATTTCGGTTCCATATCCCTTTCCTCTTTTCTGTGCAGTTGAAAATGCAAGAGTTAGATGACATTTGTCATCTAATATATACAAATTATGTACAGTGTAAATTATATATGTAGAAACAGTACTGTAACAAGCATAGAACTATGTTTACTATGCCTAATGGGTGATTTAAAGCAATTTAAGGAAAATCTTAATTTAACATAATTTTCTCCACACCTACTGAATTTAATCACACAACTCCCCTGCATCCCAAACCATCTCCTTTAACAGGGTAGCATTCATAGGGATGGCATTCACATCAAGAAACTCTGGAGAAAAAGTATTTTTGCCTGCTATAACACCACAGCACAGCTACCCAGTTTACTCCTTGTGTTATGGTTTACTCTTCCTTATTATATTCTCTCACTTGTTTGTCTTTCTTACAGCGCCACTGTTAGGTTTGGATACCCTTTTCCCAGTGGGCCATGACTAAAAACAAAGCTTGATTCATATTTGTGCTGATACACTGACGTGTTGGATCTTTCTGGTTAGGATGTAATTGATAGTACTTAGTGACATAGCAAGTAGACATTTACCTTCTGCCTATCATTTAGGTTTTTACTGCCCATCTTCAAAGTATTACACCATTTTCTACTTTATCTCCTGCCTCTGAATTTAGAAGACTGTGTTTTTTTTGTGTGAATTTGGAAGTTTTTCTTATTTCTTTTTTTTTTTTTTTAAGATTTACTTATTTATTCAAGAACTGGGGTATAGGCCAGAGGTTCAGGGTGGTAAGAGGATTCACCAGAGACAAAGTGGGGAGCAGAACAGGCAGATCGACTGAAATACACTGCTGAGGGGAGCAGTAGAGAGACAGGAGAGGTCTGCTGCACCATGGGCGTCGGCTCCCTGGCTGGGCCTAACTCTTTCTGCAGTGACTACTGACAGCTCAACAGTGCTGAAACATAACCCCTGTACCACCAGGAAGGCCCTCATTTTTATTTTTTAAAGATTAGCTGATACCGTATGTTATATCCCAATGCCACAATTATAAACTTCTTTCAAATACATATTTTAATCTACTTATTTTCTTACATTGCATACATTTCTTCACTTCATAAAACACACCCCTGTACACTCCTGATGACTAATTTTTTTAAATATATAATAGTTTATTTTTACATCATTTTATGCCTTTTTCCATTGCAGTTGCAATCCCCTTGAACTTCCCATCCCCAAATCACCTGTGTGCCATCACCAAAGTCCAGTGCATTCCCCCCCCCGTTTTTGATCCCATTCCCCACTCCACCCCCACAAAATGTCTCTGGTATGTAGCTGTTCATCATTATCATTATTTTCTCACCTGGTCCGTTATACTCCTACTATGAGTGAAACCATCCGGTATTTTTCCTTTTCTTTCTGGTTTATTTCACTAAGCATGATCTTTTCCAGCTCCATCTATGTCACTGCAAAAGACATGTGTTTCTTTCTTTTTGGGTTGCTGAGTAATATTCATTGTGTATATGTATTATATCTTTTTAATCCAGTCATCCTGATGACTAAATTTAAAGTAATTTTCTTCTGGAACCTTGAAAGTGACTTCGCATTTTTTTTCTTTTATTTTGATCTTTAAAAAAAAAAAAAGCTCTCTGGTTCTCAGCCAGTTACCTGTAATTAAAACCTTGATTTTTGGGCCCTTCCCTCCCTGGTGCTGCAATGGTTAAGTCTCAGCACTATGAAGCTATCGCAGCCACTGCAGCAAGAGTTTGATCCCTGGCCAGCGAGGTGACCCACATGGCACAGCAGACCTCTCCTGTCTTGCCGGCTGCTCCCCTCAGCAGTGTGCTTTGTTGATCTGCCTGTTCTGCTCCCCACTCTGTCTCTGGTGAAGCCTCTCACTGCCCCTGCACCTCTGGCCTGTACCCCAGTTCTGTATGCATAAATAAATAAATCTTTTTAAAAAATAAAAACTCGATTGTCATTTTACCAGAATTATATTGCTTCCTCTCAAAAAAAAATATCAAAGCTTGTACTAGCCTGCCCCTTTCAATGGAAATGAAGTGCGTCAGCCTCTGGTTTCCTAAAATACAAAGTTCCATGAGCCAATAGCCATAAAAGCCTCCTCTACTGGACTTCTAGCACAATTTTTTCAATTCAAAATTTGCCCACCTACAATTATTAAAAATGTACAAATTTCTTGATTGAATTCCACCTAGAGTCAGTATATTTTGCATAATAAGAAGAGAAGTCCATTTTTCCCCAACTAGATCTGTAACTGTCCAGCACGGAAGCCACTAGCGTCCTGTGGTCACTGAGCACTTGAAATGTGGCATTCCCACACAGTGTGCTTAAGGATCAAATGCATACACCATCTCAAAAACTTAGAAAAAGAGCAAAATCCTTCAAACTTTTTTTTTGTTTCTGCATCATTTTAACATATTGGCCCAACTAAATATGTTAACCATTGCATTAAACTGTTTCTTATTACTTTGTTAATATGGTAATTAAAAGCTCTACATGCAGCTCACATTTTCTTTATATTGAACAGCACTGGTCTAGAAAATCACCCCAAAGAGTCACCAAATATGTGATCTTTTATCATTTGCTTCTTTCATTTAGCATAATATTTCCACAGTTCATCATGTTATAGCACAATATCATCCTTTTTTGTGGCCAAATAGTATTTCATTTTATTTATGCATTTACCAGTTGATGAAATTTTGCTTATTTTTTAACATGTAGAAAAATTAACGAATTTATTATTTACATTAAACAAGAACCTTCTCATATATTCTCATGTTTAATCTCAGAGTCAGCTATTTAGATAGGTGTTATAGTTACCAACCATTTCATGGGTGAAGAAATGGAGGTTCAAGAAAGCCTAACTAATTTGCCTTAGATCACATAGTTATTAAGAACTATAATTTTGACTCAAACCCAGTTCACCTGACCTCGTGTTTTGTTCTCTTCCTTATTGTAGAATCATGTTTTTTTTCCTTATTGCCACAGCCTCTGTCCGTGATTTTGTTGTTTGTAAAAAAACAATTGCTTTGTAGTTAGCCTCCTTACTAACTTCGTTTCATACTTTATTCAGTATACTCTCAGGTATGGGAAATGGACTTGAAAATAACATACTATGGTCTCTCTGGGTAACTTTGTACATAAAAACGGAATCGATTCCCGGTGATAATATACCCCAGTTAGCATAAAACAGAAAAACTGTTTTTGTGACCTTGGGTAAACTAGAAGTAGAATTGCTGGGTCAGAGGGTAGCTCTGATTTTAGTCATTTGAGGGAGCCCACACAGCTCACCATAGGAGAACATAAGGAAACCATACAAAGGATCAAGAAAAATAGAAAGACAAAGAGGAACCAAAACAGGGGGGAAGATCACAGAGATGATGGTGACAGTTTGCAGGTATCTTGGTGGTGGGAATTGTATGAGAGGAGAAATTAAATAGTGTAGAAAAATGAATGACAGTGTAAAAAATATATAAAAAGAATTAAAGCATACAACAGAAAACCTGTCCAAACTGCATGATGCATTGTCATCACCTGTTTGGACAGCTCAAGGCTGGCGCTCTCTTCCCTGTCTCATGAAAAGTCTCTAATAACCTAGACAAGACTATTTTAGGGGTTTGGGTACCCACCCACCTCACCCGGCAAAATATGTACAAATTAGAAAACCTACCTTATGATATTTGTAGACATCCCAAAGTTGATTTTTTTTTAATTTTACCCATCTGATAGTATCATACACAGAGACGCCAAATAAACTGTTTATAATGATAACATGTTCTTTCTGCTCTTTGTTTTTGCCCACAGGGCTCTGTAGCCATAGCTGGCGCGGTTATCCGCTGGTTAAGAGACAATCTTGGAATTATAAAGACCTCAGAGGAAATTGGTGAGTGTGTTCTCATGAAGGTTAGACTCTAAATAATGAAAATTTTTAGCTTTTTGTCTCTGCAGTCTGTTAAGAATTGTGCATTTCTCCATATGTGACTTTAAATTATATGGGCCTCATTATGAATGTGACTTATACATAAAAGACTATTTTGTGACAATTTTAAAACAACAAACTGGCATAAGGAGTAGTGTTGCTTAATGAACTAACTAGCAGGGCAGGTTATAAAAATTACCGAAGTCTAAAATTGAGTACGCTAGCGAAGTCGATCAGTTAAATTTGTCTGATGGAAAGAGCTTTACTTAACTGCTAGTTTCAAGCGAGCACTGGAACTCTAGTACCTGTATTTAAATATTACCATGGCTTTCTTCAGCCACTGGGTAACTGCTTTTATTCCTCAACCTAATCTAATCTTCCTCTACTTAGTTAACTTTCCCTGGAAGGGATGTGCTCGTCATCTGCTCAACCACCTCCAAAGTCTCCAGAAAGCTGGGCCAGTTCCTTTACTTCTTAGGTTCCACTTTAGGGGGGATCCGACCTGAAGAAACATGTCTGGTCCCTGCTCCCTGCTGTGCTTGGGGACAGTGGCCACGCCTGTCCTAATCTCTCAACAGGCATGTTTGCTGGCTGATGTTAGCGGGATCTATTGGAGTGAATTTGTTTTTGTTCTTTTCATGTTAGAGAAACTTGCTAAGGAAGTAGGAACGTCTTACGGCTGCTATTTCGTGCCTGCGTTTTCCGGCTTGTACGCGCCCTACTGGGAGCCCAGCGCCAGAGGGTGAGCACTGAAGTGGGGCCCGGCTCTGGCGGGTTTCCATTATTCACTCACTTGGCTCGTAGCTTATTCATTTGTGTTTCCTACTATGCTTTTCAAATGGCTTTTTTTTTTTTTTGGTAAAGATTTGTTTTATTTATGCATTCAGAACTGGGGTACAGGCCAGAGGTAGGGGATAGAGGATTCACCAGAGACAGAATAGGAAGCAGAACAGGCAGATTGACTGAAATACACTGCTGAGGGGAGCAGCGGGGAGACCAGAGAGATCTGCTGTGCCATGTGGGTCAGCTCCCTGGCCAGGGATCGAACTCAGGCTGCGGTGGCTGCAGAGAGCGTCATCGTGCTTGCCCAATGACATATTTTTTATGGCCAGATTTGGGGGTTTATTTTTATTTTCAGGCTTTTGATCTGCACATTTCTGTCTACCAAATTCACTCCTTTCATTTCAGGACATTTGTGATTGGGAATCCATTTGTTCCACTCTAATATTAAAATCTTTGTGTTTTTAGGATCATCTGTGGGCTCACTCAGTTTACCAATAAATGTCATATCGCTTTTGCTGCATTAGAAGCTGTCTGCTTCCAAACCCGAGAGGTAATAAATATGTGCCTATTTTCTTGTAGTTAATTCAGTTTTCTTACTCTTAAATGAATTAGGGATTAATGCCTAACATGTATTAAACTAACATGTATTCAATACTGAAACATGTATTAAATACTGAAAATGTACAGAATCAAAAACTAAGCCTGCCTAAGTGCAAATCTCACAAATATAAATTCTACCTTTTTCCCTGCTAATTTCTGCTATCTGCCAGGTGCTGGGCATTTCACACTTGGTGGGCCACTGAGTGGTACCTGTTAGTACCAACGTAGGCACCAACGCATGAAAGTAGGGTATAAAATAGAAATGTCTGGTGGGACTGGTTCTAATGATGAACCAGCGGTGTAGCGAGAGAAAGGTTGGTTGTGACTGGATCAAGGAGCTTGGAAGACCAGAATCAAAAATCTAAAATGATACTCTGTAGGCTTTAGGGCGCTCTGGAGGGTTTTTAAGTACAAGACGCCATGCTCAGAGATGTTACTATGAGGTAGGCTAACTGTGCTCGTTGCCTTGGTTTCTTGAAGATTTTGGATGCCATGAATCGTGACTGTGGAATTCCACTCAGTCATCTGCAGGTAGACGGAGGCATGACCGCCAACAAGATTCTGATGCAGCTGCAAGCAGATATTCTGTGTATCCCTGTAGGTCCGTAAGTCCTCCTGCCTTCACACCCCGAGAGCAGTGTCGCTTGGGGAAGCCCTGCTGCTTTTAGGCGTCTGCACATGCAAAGGCGCTGAGGCAGTGTTCTCCCCTCAGTGAAGCCATCGATGCCAGAAACCACAGCCCTGGGGGCCGCCATGGCGGCTGGAGCTGCAGAAGGGGTTGGTGTTTGGAGTCTCGAACCTGAGGACTTGTCGGCTGTCACAATGGAACGGTTTGAACCCCAGATCAATGCTGAGGGTACGTTTAAAGAATGAAATTCTTGATGGTATCCTGTGACTACCTTAGTGAGAGAGAGTTTGCCTTCTGTTGTGGCAAGTGAAAGAAGTAAGTGGGATAGCAAATGCTGTTTCCTATTCAGCTACCAAGCAGATTGCGCTACACTGAGTGTGAATGAGAGCTATATTTCCTTAGTAGAGCAACTTCTAAAATCACATTTTTTTTTTACCATTCACTTCTACTGTTTACAGTCCTTCCCTGTATGAGGAAGCACTGCCACTGTCAGTTGTAGCTCACTGAAATAGTCTGTTTTGATAGGGGAGAGGGGGGTGGGTCAGCCACCCAGCCCTATGTCTGCACTTCGGTGCCAACAGCTGTTTCAGGACATGGTTTGCTGGACACTCTGGTGTCCAGCTGTTTCAGGACATGGCAGACGGACACTCTGGTGGTAACTTGTAAACACAGCAGGATAGGTAGCCTGACAAAAGCAACAATTTGAATAAGTGAATGTTAAATATATTCACTTCTTAGTTCGCAAGCTCTAACAAATACCTTTACTAAACTGTAGTGATGTGTCTATTAGATTGAAATGAATGTGAGTATAAAAGTAAGGTTTCATATATTGTCAGTTTGGCTTTATAGCTTTTTAAAAGCCGACGCATAAGATAATATCAAAGTGGATTTTAAGCTGTTGGGAAAAAAGCTTCAAATCTGTTTTTATTCAGTTTTCTGGAAGATGAAGCCAGCATTTCTTAATTTTATTGATTCTTTTCCATATCCAGAAAATGAATGCTAGTAATTTTATAGTCAGAGAGTATGTCATGTACCTTGATATAGAAATGATTTTCAAAATCTGATATACTGTCTACAATTTTTAACTTTTGCTATAGTGGATAAAACATGAAGTCCGAAGAACGTGTGCACTTCTGAGGAAACCAACTTTTTAATAAGCAAATAATGTTAAAGCATTGTTTTTTTTAAAACATTAAAGCTTTAATGTTAAAGCTAATCACACACATGCACACATGTGCACACACACACATGTTTACACATGCTTAGAAGGTATCAGCAAACAGGCCTTCATATGTGTATGTTTTCCTTGTGTTTCTAGAAAGTGAAATCCGTTATTCTACATGGAAGAAAGCTGTGATGAAGTCAATGGGTTGGGTTACAACTCAGTCTTCAGAAAGCGGTAAGAATGCTATTATTATTATTGCTGATTTGCTTTAGTATGTTAAGTAGCTCATGTAAATATCTGACCATTACATTTAATAAGGCTGCTTTGAAGGAAAGCATAATCGTATGGCCAGGGTTCCTAACATTTTGAAACACTTGAAAGATCTAAATATGAAGTTTAAATTATCAGATTGATATACGCACTTCATTCTATCATACCATATCTTTTCTCAGCTTTGTCCTGGATCTTCAATTGATTGGTTTTCTAAAATTAAAATTATTTCTAGTTTCTTCTTAATGAAAAAAAAATCAACTGGGGTCTTCTTTTTCTTTCCCCCCCTTTAATGTCTTACTTTACTTTTTGAGAGGCTGTCTTCATGACGTGAGCCAATGGGAAGCTATCTCAGTTTCAAAAGATATGTTGACCACTTCCTAGGCTGATTCCACTATCTTAGTAAGTCTTCATCATGGGATTTTGTTAGAATCAGAGTGGAAGAAACCAAATCAGAGAGGAAGAAACAACAGTAAGTTAGAAGTATAATAGATTGGGAAGTAGCTTTGGCAGAAAATACAGGACTTTTTTTCAGTCACTTGGGTAGGGAAGTATTAGGCTTAGGTAAACCATATAAACAGTGTAAGCTGCCTTTAATATTTAAATAAACTCTAACATGCCTCCGATCTGGCATAATCTTTTCATTCTTTGCCAAATACAAGATTAGAACTTAAGCAGTGGGACAATGGCAGTAATATATTGAAGCATATACTTTAATGGATGTGAGCTTCCACGTGAAATACAATCTGCCGTCCAAATCCAAAGTGATTATGGACCCACCTTTACTGTGTCTGGCTTTTAAGAGAAACTTCTGGAACATTCACTACTAAAGATCACTATGATCTGTATTTTCACTCTTGGACATTCCCACTTGAAGCTTTTGTTTTTTTTCTCTTAGATAAGCTTCAGATCATTTTTAAGTCTTTTGTCCTAAGACTCAATTTCCTTTCCAGGATGATAGCAAAGATTTTCTTGCTAAGACTATTTGTAATCATGAGACCTTTAATAATTGAATGTCCAATCATAGGTACTTTTCTAGCAGCGTGCTACTTTCTGTGTTAAATATAGTGTGTACCCTGGTGTCCTTTCCAGTTGCCCTTAATTAATGGTTGAGACATTAAGTTACACAATTTTTTTGGACATTTTTGAAGATTGATTTATTTATACATACAGAACTGGGGTACAAACTGGAGATGCAGAGAGTGAGAGGCTTCACCAGACACAAAGCAGGGAGCAGAACAGGCAGATTGATGATGCACACTGCTGAGGGGAGCAGCGGTGGGTCTGGAGAGGTCTGCCGCGTCTGGGTGCCATCCTCCCTGTGTGCCCTTTGCCCACCTCAGTGTGCCAGCACCCACCCCATACAAACACTCTTCTGCATACTAGCAGTTGAAGATATGATTTTCATTATAAGTTCTCCACCACACCAACTGGTCATTTACCTTTTAAGTACCTTGCTTTCAGTGAATCAAAAGTGCCAAGAAAAAGTTGATGAAAGAAAATTACATGATTTAGTTTATTTCTGTCATATGTATGATAAAAAGTAACTGATTCTTGATGTTAGACTTTTTAAATTTAATTTGCTTTAATTTCAATTAGATTGTGGTAGATTTGAACTGACATTTGAAAATGTTTTTTGAGTAAATTTATGAAAATCACTCTGATGAATAACATTATAAGATTCTTTAAGCTATATAGCAAACTCGAATAGTAATATGTAGTTATTGAAATGCTAGTTGTATTCATTTGAGCAATATAAGCTATATGTGATTCTGTGATATATCAATACACTGCAAAACAAAAGCAGTACTGATAGCATCCTGCTTTAATCTTGAAAAGATACTAGAGTTGCTGCCACTTATCATAAATGATGAGTTCTTGGCCTTCCACTCAAAACCCACCAAAATAACATTTTGAAAACAGGTCAGATTGGTTTAAAATGCACTATACAGCTATCAGATAACAATGAAGTTAATTGATATATCTTGCCATTAGCAACCAAAGGGAAATCTTTTCATTAAATAGTTGCTGCCTACACTGATAAGGACTTACATGTGCCAGCCCTCCTCGGGACCTTCTCAAGCTAGAACTCAAACTGTGCCCCATCAAAAAAGCCTCTGTTGTAACCAAGAGCCATGGGTTCTAAACAAACTGGAAAATAAGTTGCTGTTGCCAAAATCAAATTAAAATATGGTCTCTGCAAATAATGGAAATAAAAAGTAGCTTTGTTTTTTATTTGAAAAATAACAAGCTATGGGTAAAAGAGGGGAATGACTTAATTCCCTGTTTTATGAAAATATTCCTCCTAAGGGAAAAATCCACATGGTGAAAGGGAACAGATTCTCTCCCAAAAAGCAAAGAAATAAGTGTCCCTAGTTTAGAATATCAACATATGCTCAGAGTAAACCTTAGACTGCATTTTAACGAAAGCCCTACATCGAATGGCTGTAGTTTCTTAACACTTAGGTGTTAATTTTGTTGGTTTTCTTACATAGCGTGTGTAGCTGTACTTACGTAGCTATTAAACGTGGGGTTACATTTTCACGCTTCTCTATGTGCACATGCTTAAATACATTTCTTTCTGAAGAAAATGTATAGTAAGTGTTAAATAATCTGAATTTTTAATTCAAGTAAAACTTGAGGGAAAAAAAGGAGTATTCTCTAAACAACGGATTCCAGTGAATCCAGGTTAGAAAATATCAAACAACCATGTTCTTGGCAATTTTTGTAAATATGGATTAATACAGTTTAGCTTTTAAGTTACAGTGATAGTGTCAGGTACATTTCCTTGCATACCAAATTTTATTTAAAAAAGAAAACAAAAGCAATATCTGTGATGAATATAACATTTCTCTGATAGCCAAAGGAGCTGTAATCTGACCTTGGGGGACTCTGCAGTGCTCACATAGGGCTTGATTCTTCTGGAAGGATCAAGAAAGCTCAAATTAACAGCCTCCCAAAAAGCTCTCCATAGGCTTTCTTCGGCTTTGCCAGTGGAAGGCTTATGTTGATCTCTGTATCACATTCTTGGCTACCTGTGGCATGCTATCTGTATTGTTTGTTAACTTTCATAAGTCTTCAATATTGATTATATTTTTGATTTGAAGTAATAACGCTTTGCTATCTTTTAGGAATATACGTAGTATTTTATAACTTATTTTGTTTTGCTATCATGTGATTCTTAACACAAATATTGTAATTATGTGTCTCTCTTTTGGTTTGCTTGGCTGGAATTCCCTTCTACCTGGATGGCCACAGGTGACCCTAGTATCTTCTGTAGTCTGCCCTTGGGCTTTTTTATAGTGAGTAGCATGGTAATGTTAATCGGAGCAAGGTACATCTCAGGTCAGTTATTCTTTAAATTAGACAATTTTATTAGTTAGCTTTAATGTATTTGCATATAACTCAGCAGAGTTGTCCGTGTTTTCCATTCTAACTATATTAGGAACCTGGGAAATCAATTTAAGGTCTAATTAGTCAGACCAATTAATCTATTGGGGCAATCAGAATTAAAGACTGTAACTGTACTCCACCTCTTTTTAATATTTAGTGCATACTGATTTCTTTGCTGGGCTATATTTGAGGGGCTGTCAGCTCCAGCAATAATCAGGAATGAAAGTATGAATGTTAACGCTGAAATGAAAGGACATTTATTTCTTTTTGACTTTTATTAAATCGGCTTTCAAATGTATATAAGTTGGTTTTCATACGTCAGAAAAATTGCTAAGCAAGTTTTAATATGCATTTCAATTCTGGTAAGTTTTGGCCAGAACATGTTAGTAGAGTTCCCATAAAACTCTTAAGTGGGAAAGATGTATAATCACTTGTATTTGAATTGAAAGAAGACTTTTTGTGAACTGGGGCTTTTTTTAATCATTATTTCAGTAAATTGGGCTTGAAGGCTTAAACTAAATTATTGTTTTAGTGCCTTAAAAATGAAAATGCTTAGCATCTCTTGAAAGACATGGCATAATCTGTTTGAATTTAATTATAATGATCATTTCTGGAAGCTGTTTCTGATGATAGCTCAATTTTTCTTCAAATTAATTGTTGAAACGGAAATGACTTCTTGCCAGGAAAGTGAGCCATTTTATAATCTTCACAATGCCAAAAGGAATTTAATTATTTCTCTTAATTGGAGGTGTTGATCTGGGTTTAACATGTAAAATTTAAATGTTGATATGGTGGGACAGCTATTTGTAGAAATCTGATAAACATTAATTCAGTTAGCATCATGAGTTTAGTACTATGTAAATACGGATTGAAAATTGTTTACATCTTCATATCAGCAGAATGTTAAATTAATTTTAATTAATGATCAAATTTGAGTCGCTTGCAAGAGAATTTTAAACTTGCTTACCTTGCTCTGTGCCCTGCAAATTTAAGAATAAATTATTCAAATATTTTGCTTCTACAATAACAATGTCTTGTGTTGATATCAGTGCTTTTTGCCTTACAAAGGGCTTCTGTACACATAAACCTACATGGAATTAGCAGATGTCTGTTTTCTTTCTGCTTCAGTGGGAATGCTTGGTGGAAGAGCCCAAATATTCCCAGAAACACTGATCTGACTATGTAAGCCCATATACTACCTAGGAAAAGTTCTGTTCAGTTCTTTTTTTTTATTATTATCCTGAGTCTTTTTGACTGGAAAAAATTACATGGCATCTGAATGTTGTCCTTGATTCCCCCCCTTGTCCCCCACGGCACCATGCCAGCTTAAAAAGGCCAGGTCTCTGAAATTGGAATGTGTAGCATTTCTCCAAGTGAGAGGATGCATTTGTCCAAGTGAGAGGATGCATTTGTCCGAGTTGCTAGGCTTCTAAAATGCACATGGTTACTCTTGGTTTGCTTAGTTTCTCTTTTGGTAACAGTGGGTTTTGCCTTAGTAAATAATTGGCAACAATATAAATATTTGCTAATTTTTGACACAGTTGTTTTTGTTGCATTTTAACTGTGAAACAATATTTAGACATTATGGGGAAGTTTTAGCTCAATAAGTGATTGAATAATCTTCATTGCTTTAACTCCAAAATTACATGTATTTATTATTGACATATATGGTTTTTGTCCCCCGTTTTAGGTATCCCATAAGTAATACCAGCTCATGGATGCAAAAGATGCGAGCTTTTTACCTAACGAGAGAATTCAGCGATTCTGTCTTTTAATGTGATGACACTATTCATAGACTGGTTTTATTTTTAAGCCACTTGCTGCATGACCCTCCACGTAGACCTGTGGCTTGAAATAAAGAAAATGCAGCAGAAAGAACGCTATAGAAACATTTGGTGTGTTTTTTAACATTAACAATTAAGATTGGACCAGCCGCCTTTCAGGCTGGCCCCTCTGTTGCCATTAGTGCTAAGCTCTAGGGAGCATTCAGATCCTGTCCAGTGGAATTTGTCATCAGACACACTCAAATGCCGATGGGCCAGGAGTTCATTCTCTGCACTACATACACTTAAGGGTTATTACTAACTGGCTGATCATGAACGATTTTTAATTTGTTTCTTTTGAACAGACCCCACCCCACCCCACTCTTCTTTTCTGCACATTAGGGAGACTATGACAGCTTCATGATTATTAATGTAAATCTCTGCTAAATTCTTAAGATGGAAATTTAGCACGCTCGCTCATAGCCCAGATATTTTCAGGGAAGGACTTGCCAAAACTGAAATTCTTCTGACATTTTACATAGTCTCACTAATTACACTGAAATTGCTGTCTGAATCTCATCAGAAAAGATGCTGTTTCCATTTTGTCATCTCTCCTTTTTATATTTTTTACTTTTATGGATAATACATCTGCCTATATATTTTATATACTAGGGCAGCCCATTTGTAAATTGAGTACATTTTACACAATCTCACTAATTATGGTGAATTTCTGTCTGCATCTTACAGGAAGGAACACTTGCTCTTTTTTTTCTTCTCATCTCTCCTTTTTATACTTCTTCCTTTTTATGTATAACATACACACCTATGCATTTTATACAGAAGATAGCCCATTTATAAATTAAGAGCACATTGAGTTCATGAGATTGTAATGGGGCTGGTCTTCAGTAGACCACTACGTGTATAAATATTTTGGGGAAAACAGCTGTGTACATTTTGGGCAATGGTTATGCATAATTATTTACCAGGAGAAACTTTTTTCTTAAAGAGCCAATATTTAAAATTTAATTAAATGTTCTATGTCAATAAAAGAAAATGTACTTTATTGTGACTTCAACTATTTTTCTTATACTTTACCTTTTAATTTAACTGTTTTAGCTGAATATATGCCTAAAAAAAAGAAAAAGAAAAGCCTGGAATACTGCAGTAAATACTGTTTTCAAGCACAAGTTCATATGAAGTTATTTTTCCTTGACATACTTTTAGACACATTTGGGATCCTTTTAACTTCAAAAAAGCTTAAAAACATAAGTAGATAGATAAAAACTTTCTAAGAAATAAAGACAAAGACATTCTTCTTATTCAAATATGTTATAAACTACTGATAAGTGTTTATAATATTTGACATGACATAATTATCTGTTTAATATCATATAGCAACTGAAAAGAAATATTTACCATTAGAAATGACTTCTAATGAAACCAAGAATTTCTCAAAATATTTAATATTATGTGTTATAAAAATTTACCTAATCTAGTTTCTTAATGCCATTTTTAAAACATCTTTGTGTCTAATACACATAAAAAATGTCACCTCCTAATTATTCTACTCAATCAGTGCTGAAACGGGGGCATTTGATATGTTAATATAAAACGTTTTATTTGGCTTGGAGTTTAATGGTTTCTTGCATTTGCAGTTCTGATTGTATTATGTCTAAATTATTAAACCTGCTGACTTTTAGACTTGCAGTTTCCATTTTAGAGACATAAATATTATGGAAAGGTTCTGTGAAATTATTACTTTGTGGCAAACATACTTTTAAACACTGTTTCTAAAAGGTAGGTTGAGTTGGAATTGTAAATATTTGTGAAAATCAGTGTTCAAACCATTTTAAGATTAATTTTCTATAAATGGCAATATTTATAAATACCTGAAATTGTACGTGTTGATATTTAATGGTGAATTTACATAAAATAAATTGACCCATCATTCTTACTTGCATTCCTCATTTACAGGCTACAACTTAGAACAAAGTTAAATTAAGGAAAATATTTCAAGAAGTGGGAAGCTCAGTTGTTAGTGCTTGAATCAGGCACACCCTGAAGAATTCACCAACAATGGAAGAAGTAGTTTCTGGAATGATGAATACCTTAATCATTCTACTAGAAATGATGACAGTTCCCTATCTCAGCCTCCAGAAAATACCTTGGCAAGGTTAATGCTGTGTCAGTACGGTCTCAAAGCAAGCTGCTTCATTCTGTACTTCAGTTTCTCTCTGCCTGGCTAGTCTGTGGCCTGAGGTACACCATTGTTCTCTCAACTCCAACTACTCAGCCAAACAAGTCATGCATCTTTGTCTCTGAAATGAGAACTTAGATTAGTTTTCATGTGTTTTTTTTTTTTTTAAGTACCCAAGGGTTACCTCTTTGGAATATTTATGGCTGTTTTGTATCATGTGAGAATGAAGAATGATAGTTGTTTTAAGAAAAAACATGAAGCAAAAATTGTCATAACCCCGAAACTAACAGCACTGACCGTAGAGTAGGTAGTATTAGACACACAGTGCCTACCTGTTAAGTCACTAAAGGGACAACTGTTTTTCAACAGCTTTAGTAACATAAGATAGAAAAATGCTCACATTTAATGTATACATATGTATCTGCTTGTGATAGCATCACTGCAGTCAAAGCATTCATCACCTCTGCAAGTCTTCTGGTATAGTGTGTGTGTGTGTGTGTGTGTGTGTGTGTGTGAGAGAGAGAGAGAGAGAATGATTCTTAACATGAGATTCACCTTTGAACTACTCGCCACTGCATAGCTGTAGGTGGTGTCACCCTACAGATAGGTGCAGATTTCTAGAGTTCTTTATACCTATTGAACAACCCCCCATCTCCCCAGCCCTTGACAACCACTCATCTAATCATTTCCTGACTTTTCTGGATTTCAGACATAACTGAGATCATGGAGTATTCATGTGTCTCTTATTTCTCTTAGCATATTATCTTCCAGATCCACTGATGTTGGCATACATGGTAAGATGTCCTTGTTTTTAAGGCTGAATAATTCTCCATGGTATGCATGATAGTACATTTTCCTTCTCCACTCATCTGGCAGTGGACATTTGGTTGTTTCCATATCTTGGCTGTTGTAAAAAGTGCTGCAGTGAACACGGGAGTGTGGATGATTCTTTGAGATCCCCCTTTCAATTCTTTTGGCTATATACCCAGCTGGATCACATGGGGGTTTGAGTTTGTCTTTTCAGACACCTCAGCACTGTTTTTCACAGTCACTGCATCACTTTACATTCCCACCAGCAGTACACAAGGTTCCCAAAGTCACCTTTGTTTTCTTTATAAACAAAATTCTATCTCCTAGTTCTAGGTAAAGTCCAAGTTCAGGGCCTGGTCAGACCCTCTTCAGGTGTGCACTTCTGACTGCCTGGGTCCTCACACGGTGGGCGGGGAGGCAAGTGAGCCTTTTTAAAGATTTATTTATGCATATAAGAACTGGGGTACAGGCCAGATGTGTGGGAGTGAGAGGATTCTCCAGAGACAGAGTGGGGAGCAGAACAGGTAAACCTGAAATACATTGCTGAGGGGAGCAGTGGACGAGACAGAGAGGTCTGCTGCGCCATGAGGGTCTCCTCCCTGACCGGGGATCAAACTCAGGCTTTAGTGGGTGGCTACAGAGCTGATATTTTAACCTCTGCACTACCAGGGAGGCCCCAAAATAATTTTGAAATATGCAAATGTCTAAATGTAAATATATTTGCATATATGTATATATATTTATGTCATTGCTCATTTTTGTACATGTTTGATTTCTCAGGGGTAGTCCCCATAAAATTCCCACCACAAGTCACCGATGCACCATCACAGGAGTCTTGTGCTCAGTCATTTCTTAACTCTTAACCTTTTAATAGCTTGTCTTAACTAGTCATATTTACATCCTGAATTTACCTGCTGCTCCTTTGTTCTTATGGCTGACAATTTTCATAAGGTCACCTTCTAGACAACTCAGCAGAATGCACGATTTGGGAAAACCAACTTGACTGCCACTTTATCTATACTTTACAGATAGTTATCTTTTTTTTAGATTTATTTATTCATACAGAACTGGGGTACAGGCCAGAGATGCGGAGGGTGAGAGGATTCACCAGAGACAGAATGGGAGCAGAACAGGCCGACTGACGAAGTACACTGCTGAGGGGAGCAGCAGGCCGGACAGGAGGGTCTGCTGTGCCATGTGGTCACCTCCAGGGCTGGGGATCGAACTTGTGCTGCAGTGGCTGGGATAGCTTCAAAGTGCTGTGCTTTAACCCGTTGCGCCACCAGGGAGGGCCCTGATACCTTATTTTTTAAACCTGGTGTTAACCACCTTTTAATGTACAACTAGGTAGAGCTCATAAATATCAAATCACTTAAGTCATAACCAGAACACTCCACCAAAGGGAGACTAATTTGGCCTCCCAAGGTGCCTCAAGGGGTTAAGTCTCAACGCTGTGAAGCTATGGGCAGCCACTGTAGCCCCATCCCCAGCCAGGGAGACCCACATGACACAGCAGACCTCTCCTGTCTCACTCTGCTCCCCTCAGCAGTGTATTCCAGTCCATCTGCCTGTTCTGTTCCCCACTCTGCCTCTGGTGAATTCTCTGGCCACTACCACAACCTCCCTCCTCCTCCCCACCTCCCTAAACTTCTGGCCTACCCCCCAGCTCTTATATGCATAAATAAATAAATCTTTTTAAAAAGTGGATAGCTTTAAAATGAAGATTGTGGACATGGTCTAGAAACTTATGGAAAGAAGCCCAGCATATGTGAAAAAGCAAGGTGCACAACAGTGCCTAAGTGTGCTGCTGCCTTTCTATTCCTAGAGGAGAGGGAAAGAAAACATAGTATATGAACCCATGGTATATGAGCCTGTGGTATATGGGCCTGTGGTATATGAACCTATGGTATATGAGCCTGTGGTATATGAACCTGTGGTATATGAACCTATGATATATATGAGCCTGTGGTATATGAACCTGTGGTATATGAGCCTGTGG